TTTCACTTTTTTTTTGAACCCAAAAAAAAATTTTTAAAATCATTTTGGGAAACAAAATTTTTAACAAAAGTCTTTGGTTTTTTTTTTTTTTTTTTTGTTTAAAAAAAGGGAAAAAAAAAAAAAATGTAAAACCCCAAAAAATTTTGGGGTTGGAAAATCCCTCAAAGGAAAAAACATTTTAATACCCCCAAACCCCCCCCCCCCCCCCCCTGCCTATGGATGAGGTAAGTTGACTTCTACCCTTGAGAAAAAACAAGATCAAAGGTATCAACATAGTCTTCCCCCCTTGCCCCTCAGAAATAGGAATATTTTTCCTATACCGCTCAGAAATATTCCAGTGATCAAAGTTGCTGACACAGCCACCCCCTAAAAAAGTTTTGAAGCCCTTCTCAGAAAATCTGGTCCATAGATGGGGTGTGGAATGGTCCAAAAGCCAACTAGGCATGAGAAAAACAAAACACATACAGCAATGATAATAAGTTTGCACTTTTGAGGTTTGTTTCCCTGAAATTTTTAAGAGATGGTCAGTAAGAAATTGACCTGCCACCATTAAAGCAAAGGGTTCACAGTGTTTTGACTTGTACACTAAATACTGTAAAACCAGCAGGGTTTTGTCTTCGATTGATTTAGTTCTGAAACAATATTATTTTAATGATAGTGCTTACACTAGAAATAAGGTTTCAAGAAATACGTTAAGTAGAAGTTCAAAAACCAAAACATTTATATGGTATGCAGTTGTTATGCAGATTAAGGGACTGTGTAAAATTATCAGGGGAGCCCTCAAATGAGTGAAATATGGCTTTAAGTTACCTTATACCCCTTCCCCTGTACAAAAACTGAATTAACTTCTTAATCCGCATTTAATTGTAGGTAACCAAGGTACAACCCCCTCTCCCTTCGCTTCAACGGCCCCATTCCCGGGCAAGCTAAAGACTCATGCGTCATAAAACCCTAGCAGAAACAAGGTAGTAAACTTAAAGTTTACACAATCACTTGCCTCCTTTGTTCTTTTCAATGTAAGTAGATCTAGTGCCACAGGCATGTGCAGTACATGTTCAATCAATTTCTTACATCACTTTACCCTTTACTCCCCCGTTCTGTTTTAGAAACCCCAACTGATAGTTATTACACAGTCCCTTACAGTGGCGTTGAAAATGCTGAACTGTTCATGAGAGGGGCCATGTCAACAAGGCACATGCACAAAACAACTGTAGATAAATAGCCTGTGTGGCAGGCGTTAAAAGGGGAAGGGAAATCTTGCTCCTTATTCCCTTTCCCCCCCCTTTCGAACACCTGCCACACAGGCTAGTAGATAAAAAGAAGGGTCCCATTGGGGACTTTTTGTTTATTACATTCCAGGTGGGGGGGGGGGGAGTCGGATGGGGTTACAATTTTCTAAGAGGCTTGATTTTGGGGGGTCAATTTTGAAAGTGCACAAAATGTAAGGGGGGTCGAAATATTAGCTATACTACGATTGAAGCAAATCCACGTTCAAAAGTAGACAAAAAAAATTGTTTCGGCGGTTCTTTGTCAACAACAAAATGTTACCCGTATAAAGCTTGGCCCAGAAACCTATCAGCTATTTCTACTACCAGGAATGTAGCGTGCATGTACGCACATATGCCTATCCATACAGCTGAAAATAATCTGGAAAAAATATATAGACTTTTTTTATTTCGTGAAAGCATTTTTATCATTAATATAATATAAATATTTTGCATTATATAATTTGGTGTTTTTGTGTTAGGATTTCCTTTATCCTCTTACAGGTTAAGTGGAGTGAAATGGATTTGAATTCAGTATTTGAAGCCACAGAACTTGGTTGAGACTTTTGACCAAGCCAAATACAATTCTGTCCCGGAGTATAATGTAGCTCCCATATGCACAGCTGAGCGTAGCTTCAGCGGTATGAAGAGACAGCAAACTCCTTCAATTCTGCACATACACAAGCACAAGGACGTAATTGATATATATTGATGACATTATAACAGCGTTTGCCCGTCTGAAGGGTACACATCTCGCCCTTTGCTTGTAACGTCCTTGATGTCGTCCCTGTTTTACCTTTTTTGCCGTAAACAGTCTGTACCTTACCAATAACACTAGAAATAGATGGGGAAAATAAACAACTAATTATTGCATTTTCCTTCGTCTTTATTTACTGAAACTGTCCGGCTGCAGAAAACGCAGGAGATGGCATTTCCGAGACCCTAAATTTAATATATTTTCTGGGGGAGCATGCCTCCAGATCTAGACTCCCCCAGGTTTGGGGCACCTTCGACACGCTATCTGCCCAAGGATGGAAGAAGAGACTTTGTCTAGAAGGGGTTGGAGGTGGGGGGGGGGGGG